AGTTACATGAAATATTTAACTTTATTTGTGTCACTTACATGGAGTTTATATTTAAAGACAACATTTGCTGGTTCTACGGGTATACTTTCTGCTAGTTGGCTATAATCGAAGCTGGGTGAGGTATAAATGTACGTTTGTACAGAATTGGTGTTAGGATGTTGCATTTTGAATGGCTTGATTTTTGGATATATTGTGGGGCATTCCTAGCTAGTTTACACCTAGGAATCGCTGTTGTTGAGGTTCATTGGATCATTTTTGAGCCAATGAGCAAATTTTAATTATTTCTGAACATTGCATTAATTAAGTTGACTAATTAATATTAATGGTTGTAACAATGATGTAGGGTGGCACATTTGGAAAAAGAGCTCTATTACTATAAAAAGACATGTCGTGACATGAAACACAAACTGAAGGCATTGGCACATGAAGGAGGAGATGCTGCCATCCTGCGGAGCAGAGAAGGTTTGTGTGCACTACTTAACATAACCCTAACTCAAGCTTGCCATAACCCTAACACTAACCCTAACCTAAGCCTGCCATAACCCTAACAGTAACCCTAACCCAATTTAGCCTGCCATAATCCTAACACTAACCCTAAACTAAACCTACCATAACCCCAACACTAATCCTAACGTAAGCCACATATAACTCTAATACTAACCCTAACCTAAGGCAAGTATAATCCTACCACTAACCCTAAGCCAAGCCTACCATAATCCTAACACTCACCGTAACCTAATCTACGTATAACTCTAAAACTAACCCTAACCCAAGCCAAGCCTGCTGTATTGCCAACACTAACCCTAACCTAAGCCAAGCCTGCTGTATTGCCAACACTAACCCTAACCCAAGCCTATTTAAACCCTAATACTAACCCTAACCTAAGCCAAGCCTGCTGTTTTGCCAACACTAACCCTAACCCAAGCCTATCTAAACCCTAACACTAACCCTAACACAAACCTACAAATACCCTGAAACTAACGCAGATAAGGTCTATGTCCCCCTGACCTCTGTTTGACCTGGCTCGTTTAGCTATTTCTGACTAATTAAATATATATATACATATATATATATATAATATATAATATATATAGGGTTAGTCAGAAATAGCTAAACGAGCCAGGTCAAACAGAGGTCAGGGGGACATATAGACCCTACGAGCGACACTAACCCTAACCCAAGCCTAGCCTAGCATAACTTTCTGTAACTATAGTCATACCCCTAACCCAAGATGTGGGCTTGTTCTGAGAAATGCATCATGTATATATCATGTATCATATATCATATATCATATATATCATATATATCATATATCATATATATCACATATATCACTAGCAGGACACCCGGCGTTGCCCGGGAAATAAAGCTCTCAGTTGGTGACCACTTGGTTGAAAGAAAAATACCCAAAAATATATCTATCTATCTATCTATCTATCTATCCATCTATCTCTCTATCTATTTATCTATCTATCTATCTATCTCTCTATCTATTTATATATTTTATGTAGCTATCTATCTATCTATCCATCTATCTCGCTATCTATTTATCTATCTATCTATCTATCTATCTATCTATCTATATGTATATGTATCTATCTATCTATCTATCTATCTATCTATCTATCGATCTATCCGTCTATCTATCCGTCTATCTATCTATCTATCTATCTATCACACTCTATAGTCTATAATAGTGCTACGTATAGTCTTGCACACTCTGTATCAAGTCGGTTCAAGGTGAGTGTTGTTACAACAATGACATGACAATCATGCAAGTCAGTGCAAAGTGATTCCCGTCTGCATGTGGGCCGGTTTATTTACCGCTGCTACAGGGATGCGTTGATTGAAGGGGGCATGATTTTTTCATCATTTTTTCGTTTTGCGATGTCAGATGACCTCGGAGGTCAAATCCAATGTGCCCATGTTCCAATGTATCCAAAGTTACATGTAATGGCCATCCTTGGACATATATAGAGTGGCCGATATTGATTTGAATCGAGAACAGACGAACAGAGATACTTCCACAAATATGTATTAGATATATATCATATATATCATTATATATCATCATATATTTTCATATATCATATATATTATCATGTATCATATATATTATCATGTATCATATATGTATATATCATGTATCATATATCATATATATCGTATATATCATCACTTATCATCATATGTATAATTATGTATCATATATATATGTATTGTGTAAGAAATGACTCTCTTGTCATCATTAGGTGCAAGCCGGGTTCTTGGTTCGGCCAGTAGCGCCACCAGGGAGGAGAAACGGGAATCTGCTCGGAGCAGGCGAGCGATGGAGTGTGAGAGCACAGGGAGCAGTCGCCAGTCTCTTGCCAGCGGCATTCCAGAAGCCAAGCTAGATGTCAGTGCAGCAGTGGCATTACCGGTATGCAGTGTGACTGTAAGAGCCATAGAGGTGCTATCATGCACTGATTATACACACCGATATTACGCTTTTATACACCGATTGTATAAGAGGATCTCTATGGTAAGAGATCTCTATAGTAGAGATCTATATTAGGATCTTTATGGTAAGAGGTTTACTATAATAAAGATCTCTATAATAGGATCTCTTTTCTAAGAGATCTCTATGGTAAGAGGTGCTCTATAGCTCTGTTGTGAGATGCGGCTAGTTGACTGTCCTTGCACTCCTCTTTAACTTTCCAACATTCAAACACGCATAATCCAGAGAAAATGTTTTATATATTCCGCGCGATGATATTGTTTTTGTCTTTGCACCTTCTAATTGGATCTTTTATGCTAGAATGAAAGCATGCGTGTTATGACATGTGTTTTTTGTTTAATTCCTAGGCATTGTATTAATTTTATGACTATATCTTACTGCTGCTCGACAGCAGATATCCCCTCTCCGTGCGTGTGTAGCGTAAATCAGCCATGGTAAAAGCCAGTACTGATACGACCTTCAGATTTATAGATAATTAATAGAGTGCCAGATCAGAAAAATTTGATATTAATGTATGGACGATCATTTAGTATTACTAACTCGTGCTTAATTAACGTTGCAGTTGGAAGATGACTCCGAACATTCCAGCCGTGTTGGTGGAGGAGGAGGAGGAGGAGGAGGAGGAGGAGAAGGGGAAGGAGATCTTACAGGGACATTTGAGATACCAGTTCGAGCGTCGAGGAAAGGTGTTGCAGCAGCCAAACAGAGGAAACCTGCAGGCAGCGATCTGCAGGTGGAACAGGGAAGTCTGGCGGAAGGGGATCAAGCAATGATGCAGCAAGCAAGACCCGTGAAACTCTCCAAACATCAGCTAAGGCAGCTGTCACAGCAGGAGTTGGAACTGCGACAGTCAAAGCTGAAATGCTCCACGATTGCTACCGGTAAGCAGGCGGCCGAACGGTGAATGGCAACCATGGGATAGTTAATCGAAGCATTCTCAACAACTGCAGCTGCAATGCTCAAATAATTAACTTGTGTAAAATTATGTTCATAATAAATAAAAAACAACTAAATTTCTACTGTACAACATAAATTATTCTATTTCAAGTAAATTTTAGATGGGTGAATCACCGAAACATGTTGCTACATTTCAGATTCCATAGATGCTAGCCTACCGCTGTGAGAATGCAGAGGGAGTAAATACTTGCCAGTGGTGGCCCAGCTTGTGAATGAGTCTCCACGTAGCAATGCAATCAATTCGTGTTAGTCCCTTACACGGAAATCTCACGCTCAACGTACACAAATCGCAGAGAAGGAACAGTGTGTCCTGTTATTGATTCTTGCAGCTATTAATTTTTGCTCAGCGTAGAAGAGGAGATTTATTGTAAAAACCACGAAACGTTTGTCAAATGCTTGCCATATTAGCTAGAGAACATTAACAGTTAAAGGGACAAGGTCTGGTATTTAGATGCTCTTAGACACTCCCACCGATGATTGAGAGGGTTTGTGTGGTCTGCTTAAAAGGTCAGCTTACAGTATATGCTGTAATATGTAGCAACGCTTTGCCTGAGCACATGTCATATTGATCATTAGATTTTGCACGTATGTTCTGCTGCAAAATTACGTCGCAAAGCCGTGTAAATGCCAGATCCTGTACCTTTCATGTACTGCTGATATTATATAGTTACTCTTCTCTTTTATAGTCAGTATACTATGTATATATATAGTCACTCTTCTCACAATGCTCATATGAAAGGAAAGATTTCCTATTCTCATTTTACGTTATAATTAGCGATACAGTATATATTTATTCTAGTCTTTCTGTTACGAGTTGCCGTTGTGAGTATTTATCCAAATATTAGTGTTTTTTTATTGTAAGATCTGTTCAGTAGGGAAGTTGTTGCACGTATTATTTTATACTACTGCATCGAGCAAATTTACTGCTTGATTTTGTTTAATGTTATCAAAGTTTTATACTGCAAATACACAAAATTATACAAATGAACAAATTGTATTTAATAATTATGTTTAATAAATTAATATAGTAGATATTGTAGAAGTGAAACTAGCATATAAATTTCTAAAATATAAAGGATACTTGTAGACATTAAAAGGCTATTGTCCTTGTGCTTCCTGATTAGGAATAGTCGAGAATTGATTGGTTCTCATAAAATTAATTTAGTGTTGACATATTATGCGAGTACCATCTAAAGCAAATTCAAGCACGGATTTTTGGCAAGAGTGTAAAAAAATATCTCAAAATAGTACGCAGCGTCGTTTTTCACGTGTAAACAAGTAATGCTAACAATATATATACAATATCATAAATTAAATCCTGCGTATAAAGCTCACTTAAAGTAAAAACAGGGAGAAAGAGAGAGGGTGAGACGCGCACGCACACACACACGCGCGCGCGTACACGCACAGAGAGAGAGAGAGAGAGAGAGAGAGAGAGAGAGAGAGAGAGAGAGAGAGAGAGAGAGAGAGAGAGAGAGAGAAGAGAGAGAGGAGAGAGAGAGAGAGAGAGCGACGAGAGAGAGAGAGAGAGAGAGAGAGAGAGAGAGAGAGAGTGAGTGATACCTACAAGAAACCTACTAGAACGTTTGTGATCACCTCTCTTAATCCTCGTTTCCCCCCCTAATTCCCGCGTTCCCCGGGTACATTAGCTAGCACACTGTGACGGAGCGATGTTCACTATGATTTAAATCGACCAGTAGGCATCGCTTCGGCAGCTTCTTCCGTCGCTATACTAGGCATATATATATATACAAGTATACTAGGTATTATTAGCGCTTGATATATATGTAAAACTACACGGCTAGCAAAAGCTACACGCACGTCTTGAAGCGCGCCACGCCAGCTGGTTACTGAGCTTCATTCCTGAGCGGCCTGAGCAAATCCTAGTGAGGGGGAGGGGAGGGAGGGATGTCGTGTCTCTCCGCTGAGTCATGACGAGGGAGGAGCGCAGCTCCCGAGCAACGTAAATAACGTGACGGTGGGGGGGGGGCGGGGCGTCTGAGACGATAGTTTCACTGACGACTGCCTGACTATACATTTTGACACACACTTCCATCAGCGTTATTTATATATTTATCTGGCGCTTTTATTTTATTCCCCCCCCAAAAAAAATCTGGCGGGCAGCTATATCACACACCCTCCCCCAGAGGCTGCGGCCCTGTTGAGTTAAGCTGTTGGGGTCACCGTTGGGAGTTCCGTCGTCCATACACATCGTGGACAGAGTGTCAGGGGCCTGGTGGACTTAATCTCCTGGTAAAGTTCAACTGGTCATATATAGTTGAGAGCATATATATCACAAATGTGTGATTATTTACTCCATATATATATATATATATATATATATATATATATATAGTA